CCCGTGAAAAAGAGGGAGATAAGCATGTACCGTGTGGACTGATAGGGACTGTCTCCGAGGCTTGTTGTTGGCTTAAAGAAGGGAGGTCCAAACAGTATTGTAGTCTTCTCCCATTTACGTTTGTTTTTAAATCCTTATATATGCACCCCAAAATTCTAGAAGGGTATCTAAGAAATTATCGGCCATGGTTGTCTCTAAGAAGGGAATAAGAGACTCTGGAGATGGGAGGCTTCCGCTTCACTGTATAACCTTTCATACTGTTTGAAAAAATTTTAACCACAGGCACACGGTTCAAAAAACATTTTGTCCTCGGACTAAGAATGTTATCCAATTACAGAAAGGCACAGACACCTGCTTTTTAAGGCATTTCCTGTGCCTTTTGCATTGGGATTTGCAGTTACCCTTTTGTGGTTTTGGGGTTCAGAAGGCTGCTTCCAGGCCAAGCTCTCGAGGCCCCCGGGGCAGTGGCTGACTGGTGGAGCCTGAGGGGCTGGTACTCGCCTCCCTCACCCAAACCACATCCCAGAAATGCCTCCGTGTGCATCCAAACGACCGCAGGAGGAGCCTGGCCTGCCACGCCCTGATTTGGAATTTGGAAGTTAAGAAGCTGTGGGCCTGCCCTACTCCTGCTAAATGAGTGGCCCAGGCAGGAAGAACCCGGGGGACCCAGGCACCCAGCAGCCACTGCAGAGGGGGCTGGCGCGTTGGGAAGGCGCTCAGTTTAGGCAGAGGACGCTTGAAAGGTGAAGAGGGCTTTCATGGGTAGGCCCACCAGGGCGGAAGGCCCTCTGGTCCATTTTTGATTCAGAAAAAGGGCTGAGGAGCCAGGGGCCCATCCTCAGGGTCTCCGGAGAGACCCAGGTGCTGAGGGACTGCTGACTGCATCGACCCCATTCCTGGCCCCCTTTGGCTGTGTGCCCTCTCTCAGAGGGAGAGGTGGGAAAGAGGACATCCCAGGCTTGCCTCCCCTATCTGAGCTCATATGCCCTTAAATCCAGAGAGTGGGGAGGCAAAGTCTTCAGGGCACCCTTCCCCTTCCCAAGCTGGCTGGCTGGCCCGTGATTGAGAACCTAGTGGCAGAAGCACAGGAATGAAGAGGGTGGGAGGTTTAACCACAGGCACACGGTTCAAAAAACATTTTGTCCTCGGACTAAGAATGTTATCCAATTACAGAAAGGCACAGACACCTGCTTTTTAAGGCATTTCCTGTGCCTTTTGCATTGGGATTTGCAGTTACCCTTTTGTGGTTTTGGGGTTCAGAAGGCTGCTTCCAGGCCAAGCTCTCGAGGCCCCCGGGGCAGTGGCTGACTGGTGGAGCCTGAGGGGCTGGTACTCGCCTCCCTCACCCAAACCACATCCCAGAAATGCCTCCGTGTGCATCCAAACGACCGCAGGAGGAGCCTGGCCTGCCACGCCCTGATTTGGAATTTGGAAGTTAAGAAGCTGTGGGCTGGCAAGCCAGAAGGCTGTACAATGTAGGGGGTAAGACAGAGGAATCAGACAGACCTGAGTTCAGATATTGGCTCTACCACTTCCTGGTATGATCTCTGGCAAAGAACTTAACTTCCCTGTAAAATACGAGTAGGTATCATACTATTACTCACTTCGGGGTTGCTCTGATTAAATCAAGGCCAGTACACAGTGAACATTGCATCCCAGATTATATCTCCCTAATGGCGCTGAGGGACTGCTGACTGCATCGACCCCATTCCTGGCCCCCTTTGGCTGTGTGCCCTCTCTCAGAGGGAGAGGTGGGAAAGAGGACATCCCAGGCTTGCCTCCCCTATCTGAGCTCATATGCCCTTAAATCCAGAGAGTGGGGAGGCAAAGTCTTCAGGGTGCCCTTCCCCTTCCCAAGCTGGCTGGCTGGCCCGTGATTGAGAACCTAGTGGCAGAAGCACAGGAATGAAGAGGGTGGGAGGAAAAATAGGTAGGCAATCGGGGAGCAGAAGGGAGGGGACAAAGAGAGAAACAGGAGAGAAGAGAAAACATCACCTCCGGTATAACAAAGGTTTCCATAACTCCAGGGACAAAGCCACAAATCTGAGGAAGATATGTGAATGCCTCTCTCTCAGTAATTGATAAGTTAGCAAACAAACAAACAAAAGATGAGTAAGGATATGGAGGATCTGGATACCACTATCGGTAAGCTTGACCAAAAGTATGCTTAGAGAGCCCTGTACCCAATGATAGGGGTTAGGATATTCAAATAGACATGAGCATTTACAATCACTGGCAATATAGTCAGTCTCCAAAATAAAACCAGACAATGGATATCATACAGACCATGCTCACTGGATATGATGCACATTCGAAAAAAATTTACAAAACACATAAAAAAATCACTTGAAATTTTTAAAAACTTCTGGACAATTCACAGCTCAGAAAGGGAATATTCTGAGCTATAATGGAAACACATACAGAACAATTCAGGTGCAGCCAAAGCAGTACTCTGAGGGAAATTCATAGCATTCAAAAAGCTTAAACATTTAGAGTTAAAATAAGAAAGATTGAAAAGTAATTATTTGGTTTCAACTTGAGAAGATAGGGATTTTGAGAGGAAGGAGAACGAGAAAGAAAAAGAAGCAGGGGAAAGAGAAAGGGTAATAGAATTTTCTAAGCAGAGTCTCTGGGAGATGGAGGATCTCCCAGCTTCCCTCCCTGTCCTGATCCTTCTCTCCTGATGGACCTTCCTCTCTCTATAACCCCAACCCATGCACGGGATGTGGCTAAAAATGGGGAAGGGTAGAGCTGAATGCTCAGTGCCCAGCCCACTAGGTAAGTGGTGATTTTGTCCCCAAGAGGACTATGGGTGATGCCTGAAGACATTTGTGCTTGTTACAACTGGGGGAAATTGATGCTTCGGGCATCAGATGGGTGGAGGCCAGGATGCTACTCAACACCCTACAGTGCATGGGTTGGCCTCACCACAAAGAATGATCTGGCCCAGCCTTTTTTATTATTATTAGTTTTTCTTTTTCTTTTTTTGGCCACAGCCTTAGATGTCAACAGGGTGAAGTTTGAAAACCCTGCTCGAGGCAGCGGCAATTACCTGGGAGGCTGCCTGGAGGATGCCACGGCCATCAGGCTCCCTGTGTGGGGTTGGAAGGTGTGGACAGCCTCGTCGGTGTATAGGCCACCATCCTGCCGGTGGTTCAGGCTCACCAGGTCAGTCATCACCACCAGCCCTGTTTCCTAGACAACAGACAACAAGAGACCCACGGTGGGGAAGTGGATGTAATGTCCCCAGCAGTTCTCATCACCCTGAGGCCACTGACCCAACATTGCTTCTGTGTCATGGCCCTGCAGCAGGCTTGGTGACATGGACTGAGGGGGCCATGGCACCCAGTGACCATCCAGGACAGAGTAGAGGAAAGCCCAATACATTTGTGGCTCAGACAGGCAAACCCACAGAGACAGAGAGCAGATTGCTGGCTGCCAGGGGTGGGGAAGGGGACGTGGGGAGTGGCCGCGAATGGAGATGGCGTTTCCTTTTGGGGCGATGGGAATGGTTTGGTACTAGGTAGAGGTAGTGGTTGCATCGCATTGCAAATACACTAAAGGCCAATGAATTGTTCACTTTGAAATGGTTAAATTTCCTGTTGTGTGGCTTTCACACACACACACACACAAAATCGACTGTTGTAGTGCCTGGTCCAGACCAAGGGCCAGTGACTGTCACAATTATCTCCCTCACTCTGCTAATTATTGGGACAACTGGACTGAGGGGAAGCCCCGTCCTGGTCTGGCCGACTCTGCCTTGCGCACAGCAATGCAAACCTAGTTACTCTGACTCAGAAACAGCACCTCCTGATTCCCAAAGCTGCCAGGACCCAGGGGTTCAAATCGCCTGGCATTCAACAAGCACGTAATTGAAACTTCATTTGTTCCAACATAGGTCTACAGGTATAGAGAGATATGTAATAAATATATTTTAGCTAATATAGCCAAATAAGTCATTTGTTCAAATATATTACATATGTTTTATAGATGTAGTTTTTAAGATAATTTTTTAAACTATTACAGCGAAAGGTTAATTGTGAGATCTAGGTGGTAGGTATACAGGTGTTTATAAATTTGTTCAACTTTTCCAAATGTATGGAAAATTCCACCGTAAAAACGGTGTGTGTGGGGGCGGGGGGGTTAAAACGGGGAAGAAAAGCACCTTCAGATGGGACATGCATTTGCGTGGAGACCATTAGCATGTAAGGTGGGCTCCCAGCCTGACCTAGACTGACAGACCTAGACTGACACTGGTACACATGGCGGCTGCTGGCACCAGCCCCACCCTTGAAGGCAGGCAGGAGAGGGGTGGACGGGAGCTACAGATGTCATTGCAAGCGAACCCACCACCTGAGAACACAGCCACCTACTCCCCTTGTGAAGGTTTTCCTTCCAGCAAAGCACCTGAACATCACTGCTCCCTATCAAGTTCAAGTTGTCAGTCCGTGCTGAGAGCCGTCCTGCTCTCATCTGCCTTGCACA